GAACTATGCAATTTGCAAGGTGAAATCTATTTTATTTCCCTACAATATCTGAAGAGTACTTCAGCAAGCTGCTTCTTACTGTTGTGGGAAAGAACAGCTGATAAGTCTCAGAACTGCTCTATACAGGAGCTGAAGCAGGAAAGGATCACAACCCTACACCCATACGACACATCATATAGCATAAGAGGGACCTTCAGTACTCACACAGCAGCAAGCCAGAAGCTTGGTCACAGGAGCAACGACTAACCTGCCAGTGAGATATCGTAGTGGCACAAGTCCCCTCAAGCCGCCCCAAACCAAACATGTCCTTTATCTAGGATTCAGCACAGAGCACGGCATGCAGCACGAGTGAGACTTGCAAGGTCTGAGCCACCCTGAGGCACTGCTGCAAGCCTCCAGCTGCCTAGCTGCATGCAGCTGATGGTGTATGGGGAGCCACACTGAGCACCTGCGTGTGGCTAAGGGTACCAAGTGTGACCCCCCTGCTTCTGCCATGAACGGGTACAACAAAAGAACAGCAGCATGAGGTGGGAGGAGAATGAAAATGTCTTGTGCGAAGTGAGAGACTCAACAAATCTAATCGCAGTGTATGCTGGAAGAAACTTCACAACTCATGAAGTCATTCTGGTCCATAATTAACTGAAAATTAATTAAGAATCTTCAAAAGAGCATAAACCAAAAATGGGCCAGCATACCTTCATAGTGCAGTTGCTCACTCTGAATCTCTTCCAATAATTAAGTCTAGCATATGGTACTGGAAGTTTTTTGTTCTTTTTTTTGTTCTTTTTCTTTTTTCTTTCTTTTAAACACAACAAACAAACTGTGATTCCCAAAAAAGTTGTAGAGTCCTGCTTGCTGAAGAGCTACGTCTGTCTGCAGTGCACAGACATACTTTGTAGAAACAAGGAGGATGAGTTAATTTGATATTTGGCAACTTGAGCTTTGCAGAAATTACAGGTTGCAGATGCTTCTTGTAAAATCAAAATAAGAATGGAGAAAAGAACATAATTAGGTAAATTAGTTACTGGCTTGATGAATAATTCTCTGAAGTCTGTTAGAGGATGAGAGCAATGAGAACTCTACAATTTTTCAACAAACAAAAGAAGAAGGTAAACAATAAAACTGCAACATTAATTTTGTTGAGCATTCAGGAGAAAGTGTAGATGTATTCCTGAATTACAAGCATTTTTGTAAAAGGTGCTTAAAGTGTGGCATGCTGCCACACATGAAAATATTTTTTTTTTTTCCAAGAAAAAACTGTCAGCATTCTGGGAAGTTAAAGATAATTGATCAAAACAAATGAGTACTTTGACACAGCCAATGGAAGAAAGAGTATTTTAAAAAAATATATGAAAAAGAATATAATAACAAAAAAAAACAAACCCAAAACACAAAGAACAGTAGATTAATCATGGACTGAGCAAAAATGTGCTGTGGGAAGCATGGAAAAATCCTTCTGATCTCCCATTTCCACTACAGAAATCAGTATCTTCACAGTAGCAGTATAAAGACAATCAGAAATGTTCACATTACAAATGTGAGGTCCAGAGGTGCAGCCTCCTCATGGAAAGGGAGGGATTAAAAAAAAAGAAAGTCAACTTCTTTTCCAGCCCCGTGGGAGACAGAATCTTGTTATCTACAGCAACATTTCTTCCACATCAACTGTTGTGCCTTCTTTCTTGTTCTTTTCAAGTGAGTGGATAAGTTGTTATAATTAAGTTCAAGTAGAAAAGAAACATCCATACCTTCAGCAACTTGCCCAGTTTTCAGCCCTGAGCCCGTCTGCATGTCTTGCTATCTTTCCCATGAACTAAACACATAAGCAACTTCAATGCAATTTGGTTTTTGTGTTTATCTTTGCTTCCATGTGGAAGGTGAGAGCTTAAATTACATCTACAGCATGAAGAGCACAGAACCGTGCAGTGTGACTCAGCTATGAAGAGTATTACGCTGCAAGTGGGATTTAAAGTAAAATGCATTTATAAATTAATTTTCCTCCAGCTCTTTACTGCTCACAATGCCTAACAAAACACTTGAGCATTTTGCTTGTAATTCCAAGGTAGAAAAAGGTAGAAGTCTAAAAGCATATATATTTCCATTTTCCTTTTTCACGATGAACTCCATCATCTCAGAAATCCCTATAACATGACACAGAAGTTCCCAAAATTAAGTTTGAGACGCTACATTGATCTTCTGAAGATGCCCAATGCAAAGTTTGCTACTGGGAAAGCTTAAAGCCATTTGCTGCTGAGGCTGCTATGATTTCCTGCAAGACTTGGGACATCTCAAAGTCTGAAAGCTCTGTTAGTATAGTTTGGCAGCCACTGGGATCTTCTGAATGGTAAATACAGTCTCCAGGCTGCAGGCACCTTAATTGTATCTGTTAGTCTTCCCCACTGTCTCCAAATTGGCCTTTCTCTACTGGATGATGCACAAGGCACTATACTGTATGCACATCCACAGCTGTTTCCATACCATATGCTGCAGTGATGGAAAGACTGTTTTATATCTTTCAGTTTCTTTGTGTGGCATAAAGGAATTGAATCAGGAACAAGAATTTCATCAAGAAGGACTTATGGGTCCTGATGAACAAAAAACTGGACACGAGCCACCTCATGCAGCCTGAAAGGCCAGTGGTATCTTGGGCTGCATCAAAAAAAGGCTGGGTAGCAGGGAAAAGCAGGTGATTGTACCCCTCTTCTCTGCCCTTGTGAGGCGCCACCTAGAGTGTTGCATCCAGGCCTGGGGCCTCAGTGCAAGAAGGACGTAGAGCTGTTGGAACACGTTTAGAAGAGAGCCACAAAGATCATCAAAGGTCAGGAGCACCTCACCTACTGATGAAATATTGAGGGAGTTGGGACTGTTTAACTTGGATAAGTGAAGGTTCCAGGGAGACCTCACTGTGATCTTCCCATTCTTGAAAGGAGCTTACAAGCAGGAGGAGGGCTGACTTCTTATAAAGGTAGACAGTGATAGGACTAAGGTGAATGGACATAACCAAAAAGAAGGGAGGCTTAGGTTATATGTTAGGAATGACTTCTTCACTCAGAGGGTGGTGAAGCCATGGAAGAGGCTGCCCAGAGAAGCTGTTGATGCCCCATCCCTGTAGGTGTTTCATGCCAGGCTTCAGAGGTTCCTGATCAGCCTGATCTAGTGGTTGGCATTTCTGCTCATGATCTTTCAACACAAGCCATTCTGCGATCTTACTTTTTCTAAGAGAGGAAAATCACCAGAACAGCTCAACTGCATGCCTCTGCAACTGCATTGTAGATGTAGGCTCTGCCTTCTAGGTCATTAAACAAAGATCACTATTTGCAAGCAAATTCCAGAAGATTACACAAGAAGACTTTTCAGTGCATTCCGTAAGTACAGTACTCTGCTGAGCGGAAACAGGAATCCTAGCTAAGCTTACTCCCAATCTTGTTGGTTTTTTTTTTGTAGATGACTTTGTGTGAACACAGTTTGAAGCACATCAGGAAAAGTCAGAGATGAACTAGACACAAATCACAAGTTCCTACAGAAGATTATCAAGAAGGATGGTAGTCCTATACTTTGCCAGAATATGACGCACATATGCTTGTCAAAGAAGGCATGCTTGAAGAAGCTGTGCGCTGAGCAGGATGAAGCAATAGAAAAGCCCATGAACTGCATGAGTACTGCAGCAAAATTTTTATCAATCCAGAAATCTAGGCTACCCGCTCCACATACATTTTCAGACTCCTAGGAGCTCCTTTCTTCGAAGAAAAGAAGCTGCTGCTACCAGTGAGCCCCTGATTCATCAAACAAAGCTGATGGTCTGCTTCCCTTGCTAGATTCAACAGAGTAGACCAAAATCAGGGGAGATGCCAGCTCCCAGAATACCATGATTTGTTCCTGTTTTCTTCAGGGGAAGAGAAACAAGGAGCGTAGGAGTTAATGCAGCCTGTCAAATTGCAAGATGTGAAAAAGGTCCTAATGCAGGAAAAAAAGTGAGGTCACTCTCCCAGAAAAGTGAGGAATGTTTTCCTTGAGCATTCTGCCAGGTGGTTGGGCAGAAAAGGATGGGGAGATAGAAAATGTACCAGGCAGCAGACAGGAGCCTGGAGTTTGCACAGATCTTATTAACGGCAAGCAGCTAAATGTGTCCATAGAACTAAACTACCAGGAGAAGGAGTCCAGGTAGATAAAAAAACAAATTGAGATAGAGGAAATAATTTGTAGGAAGCATGTGACCATGTTACCATTTTATGGAACAGTGAAAACATTGTAAGGAAAGAGTCACTCCCTGCATCAGGGAAAGGACCTGTAGCAGTAACAAAAGCCCCAGTCGTAGACACTATGATAAACCTGAGAGCTGGGGGGAAGAAGTGATTTATAATACAATTTGCTCAGGGAGATGACTCGTAACATGATACTTACTGAAGCACAGCCAGAATTATGTAGATGTTGTAATTGAAGAATTAAAACAATGAAAAAGCTATTAAAGTTGTGTTAAAATACAGTTTTTAAAATATTTTGATAATTATTAAGAAAAGTTTTTGCCTTTTTGTTATGAGTATATAACAGAGTATCATCATCAAAATAACTGCATATACGTACAGTTGCAGAAATAAATCAATATAAATGTTAAATAAGCAACAACAAAAAAGCTAAGAGATTTCACTGTGTGTACATTTGCTTTTCATCATGGCATAGAAACATTTTTCAGTAGTCTACAGAATGCTTATCACAAAAACATTATGCAAGCTTTGAAGCCTTAACACTTTTACCTATATGAGAATCCAGAAAAATTACTGTCATCATAAAACACCCACTTTTCTTTTTTCTGAGCCATAAAATACATATCTCCAAAAGCTGATTTAGAATGACAATAGAGTTTATTAGCTATTAAGCGCTTCTTCAGGATAATTCCACCTTCAACTTTTGAGATTGTGCAGCTGCCAGAACTATAAAAAGGCTGCACATTTCCAATATTTTTGCCTAATCAAATTAAGAGACCAAACTATTAATATTCTACTTACCTCCTAGATTCATTCCAGCTTGCAGACATTTCTGTAATCGACAGGCTGGGCAGTTCTTCCTCCGAATCTTATCAATTATGCAGTCATTCCTTCCCGCACACAGATAATTATGCTGTCCTGAATGAACCAAAACCAAAATGCATTATTAGACTATGTATTTAAATAATTCCAATTTCTTTTCCTCTCATTTTGCAGTCATTTTGGGTTTTTATTAATGCAAAAATTCCCAATCCCATTCTTCAACCTTCCCAATAACCTTGGTAATTTGCCTTGCCTAACAGGCCTTACTAGGAGCTTTTCTTCTTTTTAGTTTAGGAAAACAGGATTTCACCTGCTTTTGTTGGGCTTTTTTTCCCCCTTCTTTTTGTCCAGGCCACAAATGATTGATATGAGATTTTTTTCAAATATCCTTACATGCACATGTATCACAAATCAGCCAAACAACTCTTAGTTTTGGTACAAAACCAAAGGCTATAGTCTCAATGCTAAAGAAGCTCATAACCTAAGGCAGGAATGAAAAGTAGAGGTAAAGTTTCTAAACATATTCCATTTTCTTTAAACAGCTCAATGAGTAGTTGATTTCTGATTTAATACCTTCCATACTGCAGAATTCTGAAGGTTTATCACAGCAAGCTTAAATCCTAACAGGTTGCTTCAATTCTGTAAAGCCCCCAGAAGCACTCATAAAGAGACAGCAGGTATACAACACAAAACATTTAGAAGAAAGGAAATACATGGGCAAGAAGGAAAATAGGCTGGCATTTAATAAACTTGAAGATTCCAGTTTTTCTTTGTGGGAAGAATGTAGGTAGAGCCATTGGATGCGGTTTGTTAGACAAGGGCACTACCATGTAGACTTCTCAAATAAGGTGCTTGAACTGGGTGTGGGAGAAAGGAAGCCTCACGGGTTAGTTCAGCATGACAGAGAATGGGAAAGATTTCTTGAGCTGCCTGAATCCAGGGGTGGTTGCCAGGATCTAGAGTGGCCACAACCAGTCTGTAGGAGACAGGGCAAAAAGCCATACAAAGGATTTCCAAAGGAAGGACAAAAGGAAAGGACACAGCTCACAGAAGCACAATGCCACAGGGTTTGCCAGCATCCAAAATTTGAGAAAATGGTGCAGTGTAAAATATAACAGTGTGCTGCAGCTTTACATAGATGGCACTGTAAGAACTACCAAGCCTCAGGGAGAGGCACTTAAGAAGAAAGCAAGAAACTCAGTACTCTGTAAACTAAATGCAAGTTACAATGCTATCTGAAACAAAAGAGAAAGGAAAAAAAAAAATTAGGACTGCAACTGCAATAACACCAACAGACAGCTAAGCAGAGAGACTCCTGAGCTGACTGCCAATGAAGGAGATGAGACACAAAGAAAACCAATAACTGGACAACCAACATTAGTGTTGATACCAAAAACTGGTGCAAGCGATGGAAGCTGGGAGAGTAAGAAACACCTGGCAAGGCCCAAAAGCGGAGCCATGATTTGATGTTTAGGCAGCTGGAGAGTGCAATGGGAGCAAAAGTACAGGCTCAAGAAGGGGACAGAGCTGCAGCAGAACAAGAGGTCTAAGATATTCTGCCAAGATATTTTTCACAATGCACAAATGCCTCCTCAGGAAAAGTCAAAGAGAATATTCATGAGACACAGGAGACCTGGCTTCTATTTTGAGCTCTTCCAGAAGTTTGCCTTAAATCTTTAGATAAGTCACTCTGTATCTCCATATCTGACTTTCTTTCACCCTCGGCCAATGTTATCCATTCAGACATAGAACTGAAGTTTGGGCTGTTTCTTGCATCTGCACTGAGCATGTCGCATGATTGCTTTGATCCTATTTGAGTAAGCAGCGTGTTACTGCTACATCACAAAGATACTGTCATCTAGTTATTGCTGTGGAGGTCTAATCACTAAGCAGAGTGGCAAATGACAGTTTTTATTGAGGGATTTTACATACCATCGTGATCCTGCAGAGTAAGAACAGAAGTTGAGCAAGAGAATTTGTGAAGTTCATAAAGTTATGCCAGACAAGGTCAAGATGAACAATATCATCGTGACAACAACGTGATCTTTAGTAAGGCCTTCTAAAAACAATAAGAAGATTAAATTCTCAGCTAATCACAGAATGAAATCACACAATTTATCACATAATGTTAAATGTATAGAGTGATCTGTACAAAAACCAGATTCATCTCTTGTGTATGTTCTTAATTCCTTTTCGCATTTTTGCTCTGTATTGAACAATCTAAAGAAACAGCAGCGTGAAAGTGAAATTGAAGTGGAAAACAGCAGTGTTTAAATAATGACGTACTGACTGGAGATGCTTTATATGCCTTTACAAACATTGGTTTCTGGACTTTTATGCCTTTTTTGTGGAGAGAAGGGAAGAATTGGTATTTTCTGCAGTGAACCCAAGTACGATTGTTCAGTGCTCATACAATGTCCTTTGTACATCACAGTACTGCAGTACCATTTTTAGTCTTTCACAGGCGGGTGCAGGCTATTAATAAAAGTCAGCTTTAATGCTGTGAAATGAACCCCATTGCGGAATATCCCTGAAAGTAGTTTGTTCTATGAAACTGTACACGTGTTAAGTCAATATTTTTCAGTACCGCTTTCAGAAGCAAATGACTTTAATAGAAAGAGGCTAACATTTATGTACTCCAGAATAATTACTTGGGCCACATTTGTAAATAATGTAGAAACTTTTTTTTTTATTCAATCACTGTCAAACAGTGACCCCATAAGAAATTCTCCTACTGCAGCAGAGTACTTCCATGTCACCCCTCAAATGGTTTAGGTAGCTTGAAATTATTACTTTATAGCCTATCATAGAATCACAGAACTGCTCAGGTTAGAAAAGACTTTAGAGATCATTGAGTCCAACCACAACCTAACCATACTACCCTAACTCTAACAACTCTTCACTAAATCACATCCCTAAGCACCGCATCCAAACAGTTTTTAAACACATCCAGGGTTGGTGACTCAACCACCTCCCTGGGAAGCCTATTCCAGTGCTTAACAACCCTTTCTGTAAAGAAGTAAAGAACAATCAAATAGTTTCAGAAAGCATAACTTAGTGAAGGTTCATCATTTTTTCAATCGTGCATCTTCGAATACTAACATATGGTACAAAATCTGTAAGCAGTTCCAGTAAGCAAGGGAGAAGTTTTCCATTTAGCAAATGTCTTCTGTAAATCAAAGAGACTGTCAAGTTTTTCGTTCTTTAAATAAATAAATAAATAAACAAATCAAATAACCATGGCCATCTTAAAACTTACATTAATTAAAATAACTGGAAAACTTACACAACAGAAGAAATCAGCACTTGGGTAGATTTTCTATATATACTGTAGCTATCAAAGAAGAAACGTTCAGTTGCAAATCTGCTGTATCATCTATTACGAGACGAATGACACATTTGAAATAAAATTGATTTTGTAGAATAAGTTAGTAATGCAAAGACTCCCATAATGAATCAGACTCTTCCATTAGTGTAGCATGATCCTGACTCATGCCCCTGAAAAAATTCAAGATCAACCCAAAAACCTATACATCTGAAACTGATGTGACTCTCAGCACCTCTGGGGCACTTCAGATCTCAATGAGGTGATGCAGATAACCCTGCAAGGAAGCCTGCAGTGGCTAGACCTCTAACATTTTCAAGAAGAGTATCTCTGCTTAGCTTAACCCAGTTTTTATCCAGTTTAATCACCTGCAAGTGGGCTGGAAAATGACAGAGTGGATATCAGATACTCATCTCATATGTGCTAATGCATTAAGATGAAAGTAATTTTTATATATGCCCTTATATAGTGCATTTATACAAGGTAATTCCTGTTCCATCTATAATACAGAATAACAAAGCATGCCAGGAAAGTTTTCTGCTCAAAATAAATAATTAATACATACTACAATGCTACATACCAAGAGGCTATAAAACTCTGTCATAGCTACGGCTGAGCTAAAAGAATATTTGAGGTTGCACTTTTCATGCATCACAAAATGACACAAATGACACAAAAATACTTAATAAGGGAGAGAACTGAAAAGCGGTTAAAAACTCTTTAATCCTCTAACTTTATGAGATTGTGAAATAAAACAAAACGGATGCGCTCATAAAATCTTTCTTCTTATTTTCTTGAGCAAGCAAAGTTCAGCAGGAAAAGCGGGAGGGAAAAAAAGCATTTCTTATCTGGCCAATGAATTACTGCCCAAATAAGGTTGCAGCAGAAATCTGCAGCATCACTTGTGCCATTCCCCATTCCAAAACTCCAGCACGACTGCCCGACCAGCCCCAGAGCCTGACACGCTCAGCCGTGCTCGTGTCCATGGGCCTTGTCAAGTCAAGGCACTCAAGTCTGCAGTAGGAAGGAGTCTAGATACTTCTTGCCAGTTATATTTCTGCTACTGCCTAAGGCAAAAGTAGAAAATTACAGAACTCTGTGAAATATTCCACATTCTCTCTCCATTTTATTTTATTTTTATAATTTTTTTTGTAAAGTCTAAGTCAGGAGCTCGCTTGTTGAAGAAGCGATTACTATGATCAAGTGTCAAACATTGTAAAAAAAAAAAATAAAAAAAAAAAGAAAGAAAGAAAGAAAAGAAGAGGAAAGAAAGATGAAAGAAAACAGTGCTGGAAGAGGATCCAAAGCCTGTTTAATTCAGGGCCATTCATGGAAGCAAGATAAGGCTAGCTTTATAGTTCAGGCAGATTTTTTTTCCATCCATCTAAACTTGCCAACAAACCTTCTGAGGAAAGGTTTCCTGCAGCTTCCCTACACAGCGCTTGATCAGGCCAGTGCCTGGCTACACTTTAGGGTGTAATTTTTTTCCCTTCACATTTTACACGATGAGGAATATTTTGCAACAGAAAGAGATTTTAGCACTCCCCACAAGATACACGGTGTAATAGTCTGCCACCTTCCTTACAACAATCTTATGCTTATCGAAAAATGCATGTTCCACATCTCTTTGCTAGACTAAACAAATTCAGTTCTCTCAATCTTCCCTCACAGGTCATGTTTCCTAAATCTGTCACCATTTCTCTTATTCTTCCCTGCTTTCTTTCGTACATGCAGCACCCAAAACAGGACACATTTTTCTTGCTGAGTTCCA